TCTTTTTTTTTTTTTTTTTTTCTTTTCTTTCTTCTATCGTCTATCTTCTATCTTCTATCTTCTATCTTCTATCGTCTTTTCTTTCTTCTTTCTTCTTTCTTCTTTTCTCTTTTCTCCCCGCAGCCTCTCTTTTCTTTTTTTCTTTTCTTTTTTTTTTTAAACCCTAAAAGAGTAGTACAGCTGGCATTTCTCTCTCCTTACTTATTGCTAGCGGTACGGTTCTTACATTCCCAATAGACAAAATAGTTTAGCAGTTAAAACATAATTGAGTCACATCTAGTAGTTGTACCCAATTCTTCTAACGAGCGTCAACAAAGTGACATAAGTACTCTTCGAGCAAGCAGTTGAATCGTTCTGTTTGTTTTTCAGTCTGAGGGTGATAACTCAAGGAGATATTTAAGGTCGTCCCCACGAACGTGAATAACTACGTCCAAAATATTCCAATGAAAATCGTCTCTATTACTAACGATGCTCGACGGAATGCTCCACAAATTCACAATATGTTTAAAGTATTGTTGGTTGTTAACTCGGTCGAGCATATTTTGGGTGTGGGAAAGAACGTGGCATATTTTTTAGAATCGGTCTATGATAACCAAGATGTCTTCATGTTTGCCTACTTTCGAGAGATGTGTTATGAAGTCCAATGACACACTTTCTTAGGGTCTTGTCGACACTGACAGAAGTTCATGGAGTTCTAAGACCTTGGCCTTCTCGACTTTATCCTATTGGCAAATGAGGCACTGTTGAACACAACTCTCTGTGGGAAACACCCGCACTCTTTATTAAGACCAATCGAGAAGAGAATACAAGACATTTTGTACAATACTACTCTTTGTATTGCTTGGGATGAAAACCTAGGTAGGGTGGGGGTATTTATATTATAGCCTACACAATCTAAATCTAATAAATCTAAATCTTTTTCTTAAAATATCTAGATTATTTCCTGAATATCTATCTTTCCTAAAATCTCTACTAAAATAAATATACAATTGTTTCATACAATTATTGGGCTAGTGATGATATTTTAACACTACCCCTCGCATTAGCTCTCAATCGTTGCACCATGTGGAGCTAACAACGAAAGCTCTCATATTAGCCCTTTTGTAAACAAGTATGTCACTAGGTCTTCTATCTTGATCTACTGCATCTCGATTTCTTCATTCAAGACTTTCTCTCTAATGGAATGGTAGTGCAACTCCATATGCTTGGTTCTAGCATGAAACACTAGATTTTCTGCTAAACAAATCGCAGATTGGTTGTCGCAATGAAGTGATATTGGATAGTCAATTTTATTGTGTCAATCTTCCATCAAGAGTTTCAGCCATGTAGTTTCCCTCTAGCTACTGCTTTGTACTCTTCTCCTCTAGTTGACAATAATATTGTTGATTGTATTTTGCTACACCAAAAAATTATTCTCGAACTGAGCTTTAACATATACCTAGTGCTTCATCTTCGGGTATCATGGTATCCTTTGACATATCTCAAGGTCCATTGAGCCGCATTCAAATGAGGCTTCTTTGCACTTTACATGTATTGACTAATGACTCCAACTCCATTTTTAAATTCATTTGGTTGGTTCATGTAGATAGTCCAACTCTCCATGTAAGAAAACATTCTTCATATCATCTATCATAATTCCTAATCTTTATTTGTCACAGGTACTAGAGAAACTTGTACAAAAGTGATTTTTGCCACTGGACTAAATGCTTCATCATCGCCTAACCATATTGTTGAGAGAACCTTGGATCTATAGTCCGATCTTTGTATCTCACGATTGATCCATTGGGGGTACACTTCATTTTGTAGATCCACTTGCAAAAGATAGATTTAACATCTTTTGATCTTGACACTAGTTCCCAAGTTTGATTTTGCTCCAGGATGATAATTTCTTCCTCCATCGCTTTCTGCCAAACCAAGTTTTGTGATACTTCTTCATATGTTTCTAGCTCATTAACTCTGTCTTCTATAATAGCTACATTAGCATACTCTGGATTTGGCTTTTGAATAATTTCTAACAGTCTAAGTTATTGAGGTTCCATTTCCTTTTCACCGTGTTCACATGATTGAGTCACTTCTTGTTCAATAACATTAGTGTCACGTAGATCTCCAGGCATATCAGCACTTAAGCAAATGTGCACAATTTGCTCTCCATCTTCTGTGGAAGAATTTCTTCAGTGTTGTTCAAGCCTTGGTAATACTTCATTCTCTGAGGGCCATCCCTCTTCCATTACACCATTGATCGTCAATCATGTGGTTTGAGCATCCCGAATCAATGATCCAATCGTCCTCGTAATCAATATGTTCTCTCATCATTGCCATGAGCGCTAGCTCGTGTTCTTCTATGACACATATTGCTTCTGCATCCCATTCCTCTTCATCTCCTTTTTGGATGTTGCCACATTGCTTTCAACATATTTTTTCTTGGACCAACAATCCCTGGACATGTGACCATTTTTCCCGCAATTGTAGCAAATACCTCTAAATCTCTTCTCTTGAGAGTTATTATTGTCGTTCTTTCGGGCTTTCCCTGGTTGTGCAGTTCCTTGGTTGTTTCTTCCTTTGTCACCATTTTTGTATCCACGTTTGGTAGACGACTTATTGTTGCTCCGATTTTCATTTATGTAGAGTGCTTCTTCTTCACCCTTTAATGTGATTCCTCTCATTTGTTTAGCCATGGCTTCTTGACTGGCTAACAAATTTTCAAACATTACAAGTGATGGTTGAGCTGGTCATCCTTGTACAGTAATAACGAACCTTCTATATTCTGGTCGCAATTCGTGGATAATGATTCTCTTCATTCGAGATTCTCCAATGGCGGACTTCGGGTCTAGTTTAGTAATCTCCCGACAGATTGACTTGACCTTGTGGAAGTACTGAGCAATCCTTTTGTCACGTTGTAAAATTGACAACAACTCATTCTCTAGAAGTTGTAGCCTCGTATCGTTCTTCTTTGAGAACAACATCACGAACGTATCCCATTCTTCTTTCGGTGTTTTTTCATCCCAAATATGCTCTAACATCTCTTCTTCGATTGTGGTCTTCAAGGCAAACATTGCTTTGCCTGTTTTGATTCTCCATTTGCGCAAGGCGCCGTAAGAATCCTCCTCTGGCGGCGTAGTTTCACTCCTGCTAACGATCTCCCAAAGATCCTATCCTTGTAAATAGGAGATTATGCATGTTGCCCACGTGTTGTAGTTGTTGTTGAGTTTCTTGATTTCTCCTACAATTTGGAAGTCACCCATTGTATTGTTAATATCTCAATAATACCAAACAAGCTCTTTTGACACAAGACTTGTAGAGTCACAGACTACTCACGACACAAAAGAAACTCACACACTAATAATCTCAAGAAATCGTTTCTGATGTGGAAGATTAGACAGCACTACAACCATAGAGCATACTAGAAATTCCAAGAGATCTGATAACCTACACTAACCTTGCCTCGATACCAAATTGTTGAACACAACTTGGGAAACACTGGATTCTTTATTAAGATTAATCGATAAGAGAATACAAGACACTTTGTAGAATACTACTCTTTGTATTGCTTGGGATGATAACCTAGGTAGGGTGGAGGGGTATTTATACTATAGCCTACGCAATCTAGACCTAACAAGTCTAAATCTTTTTCCTAAAATATCTAAATCTCTTTCCTAAAATATCTACTAAAATAAATATACAATGGGCTCGTACAATTATTGGGCTTGACTCTATTGGGCTAATGATGATATTTTAACAGGCACGTCTTGTATACTACATTATGACGTTTCACCTGTTTGGCCAAAAGTACCCTTTCTTGACCAAGACGTAAGTTCGATGTCATCCAGGGTGTCCAACCCATAAAGTATCATGGCATTCCTGGATGAGCTTCTTCCTTAGTTCTCCTGCTCTTGAGACATACAATTTGTTTACTTTTGTTAGTAGAAGGTCTCTTTTGCCCCAAAACTATCTAGTCTTCCCGACTTTGGCTAGATCAACAACAACTTTGGTCTAAGGGTCTTTATGCAAGTTCTCTTATGATGTCGCGCATCGACCCGTCGATTTTACTAGAATGAACGTGGGCTAGCATGCACATGGCTGCATGTTCGCCCTTCCGACATAGTGCATTAGCAGCTTGATTACTCTTTCCTACTTTATGTTCGAACTTAAAGTTGAGCTCAGCTACTGATTCTTACCATCAGGCTTACTTTGACGTTAACTTCAGTTGGTTAAAAAAGTGGTAAATGACACTGTTGTCCATCCTCACCACGGAGTGGGATCCCAACAGATATTGCCTCTAGACTATGAGACAATGGATGACAATGAGCA